AGGAACTCCGGGCGGATCTCATCCACCCCTGGGGCCCTGCCACCGAGGAGGTTTTTGACCACCTCAGTGACCTCGTCCCCAGAGATTGGAGAGCCCAACCCAAAGTCCCCGGGCTCAGCTTCCTCAACAGAAGGCATGTTGGTGGGATTGAGGAGGTCTTCAAAGTATTCTGCCCACCGGCACACAACGTCACGAGTTGAGGTCAGCAGCACACCGTCCACACCATAAACAGTGTTGGTGCTGCACTGCTTCCCCCTCCTGAGACGCCGGATGGTGGACCAGAATCGCCACGAAGCCGTGTGGAAGTCTTTGCAGCTGAGTTTATTGTTCTGAAAATAACTCTGGAAGTAATGTTAAAATTATCTGCATTTTATATCAACATGTTTAAATACAAACAAACTGAACAAAATCTGCACAGCTAAAACTAACAGAACCATAGTTAAGAGGTAAAACTGGTATAATAATGGCCAAAACCACTGCAAAAGTAGCTAAAATTGAAAATAACTGTTTAAAACCTATAGCAGAATAGCTGCTCAAACCACCAAAAGAGCTAAAATTCATAGAAGATCCAGAAAGGCTGCTAAAACAGTAGTTCTATTTGTTTTAGCTACTGTTTTGTTAGTTTTAGCTAGTAGCTAAAAACAACAAAAGAAAAGCTAAAACCAACAGAACAGACACAATGAGCTAAATTTATTAGAACAGTAGCTAAATGCTAAAAAACACAAAAATCAGCCGAACAGTAGCTAAAACAAACAGAACAGTAGTTAAAAGCTAGTTGAATCATAGCTAAATGCTTAATCTAGCACAAAATAGCTAAAAACAGATAAGAGCCAAATTTTGTAGAACAGAAGCTAAATGCTAAAAAACACACAAAAGTAGCTAAAAAGCTAAAAGCAGCTGAACAGTAGCTAAAACCAACAGAACAGAAACCATGAGCTAAATTTAGCAGAACAGTAGCTAAATGCTAAAACCCACAAAAGTAGCTAAAAGTTAAAACCAGCTGAACAGGAGCTAAATGCAAAAAAACCTACAAGAGTAGCTAAAAGCTAAAACCAGCTGAACAGTAGCTAAAACCAACAGAACAGAAACCATGAGCTAAATTTAGTAGAACAGTAGCTAAATGCTAAAAACCACAAAAGTAGCTAAAAGCTGCAACCAGCTGAACAGTAGCTTAAACAAACAGAACAGTAGTTAAAAGCTAATAGAATAGCTAAATGCTTAATTCAACACAAAAATAGCTAAAACAGATGAGTTAAATTTTGTAGAACTGAAGCTAAATACTACAAAAACACACAAAAGTAGCTAAAAGTTAAAACCAGCTGAACAGTAGCTAAATTCTAAAACCCACAAAAGTAGCTAAAAACCAAAACCAGCTGAACAGTAGCTAAAACAAACAGAACAGTAGTTAAAAGCTAATAGAATAGCTAAATGCTTAATTCAACACAAAAATAGCTAAAACCAGATAAGAGCTAAATTTTGTAGAACTGAAGCTAAATGCTAAAAAAACCCACAAAAGTAGCTAAAAGCCAAAACCAGCTGAACAGTAGCTAAAACAAACAGAACAGTAGTTAAAAGCTAGTAGAATAGCTAAATGCTTAATTCAACACAAAAATAGCTAAAACAGATGAGCTAAATTTTGTAGAACTGAAGCTAAATGCTTAATTCAACACAAAAATAGCTAAAACCAGATAAGAGCTAAATTTTGTACGTTAATATTTAAAAGCCAAAATTTGTAGCCAAAAGCTAAAATAACAGTAGCAACAACAAGCAAAACAGTAGCTTAAATAAACAACACAGGCTAAAGGCGAGAAATGAAGATGAAGCAGATTTCAAAGAGCTGTCTATTATT